TCCTGAATTATAACCAGAGTCTCATGGAGGGAGAGCGAGCCTGTTATGTGTACATCTATACGGGATTAACAACCCCGCACCTAAGCTGTTCGCTATAGTTAGACCAGAAGTCTAGGGTGACAAGTATCTACCAGCTCTGACACCTGAAGAACGTCGTACAAGCCACTAGTTGTATTAAGTATGGTTATAAAAACTCACATAGGGATTAGCGCCACTATTCAGTTTACATGGTAACTTACACTTCAATAGTTTTATAAAAAGATAAAGCTACATACTATTTTCTGCACAACATCACTTACATTTTTGGTTTTAGGGTTTAAGACTACAGTTTATACTTAAAAAAATATTGGATTTCCTGGAAAAATAGATTATCATTTTACAAGGAAAACATGCAAAGGAAATACATACATCTACAATTCACACTCAAGAATACACTGGGTTTTTCTGGGAACATACATTACCATTTTACAAGGAAAACGAGCAAAGGAAATACATACATCTACAATTCACACTCAAGAAAACATTGGGTTTTTTCTGGGAATGTACATTATCATTTTTCAAGGAAAACATGCAAAGGAAATACATACATCTACAATTAATACTCAAGAAAACATTGGGTTTTCTGGAAACGTACATTATCATTTTACAAGAAAAGATACAAAGAAAATGCATACATTTATAGTTCATATTAAAGAAAATATCAGATCTTCTAGAAGTATATAAAATCATTTTTTACGAAAACGTTACAAATCATTCTCACACAAAAATGCTTATGAACTCACCAAATTAATTTTTGACACTTTTCAAAATCACTTGTATTCTCAGGAAAACAATAGACAAGTATTCAACCCTTCTCGAGGGCCAATGTCGTCGTTTCATGCTTTCTACTTTTCAGTTATTTGTATTCAACTTTTGAACAAACAGATATTTGTAAACAATGTAATATTTTAAATCTAAATGTATGAATGTTTGTGCTGTTATGTTTCATATATATTCAACTGTTATGATATTGTACATGAAGTCATTCCATCTGCCCCCAGACATTTTCGCCGTTCTAGTTTGGAGGTGTGATAGATTGGTATCAGAGCATTGTGTATAGTGAACTAGTATATCAAACCATACAACGTATACAACTATAAATATAATGGGACTAAAACACTCTGACCAAGAGTTATACTTTTAAATAGAATAATATTTTATAGAAGTATACATACATACATATTAGAACAATGTCATAATAAGAACAAATCAAAAGTATTAACATAAGTTGGACACTACGATTAAACCTTGGTGTATGTAATCAGGTCTGAGATGAATATAACCTGATCAACTATATTTATCGAAGAGGTGACTATTGTATACCTGGGAATAGTTGTGGTGAGCAACAAGTCTGAAACTTACCAACTCTATATACCGAGACACTCTAGAACCAAACATAAAGCTTAAAAATTATATAGTAGTATTTTATAATACTATAAATAAACCATGTGAAAACTAAAGACCCTTACTGACAGGTCTATAATTACTTAATGTATACGTTAAGGTTATATATAATTAAGATTTTATAGACTTAGCATTTGTGATTTTGCTCTACTTCCTGTTCCTTGTTTGGTTGTGGTCTTAGAGTAGGATCACTTATTCGAAGGTTTATTCAATCTTAGTTATATACAAATTGTATCCACTATGTGATTATAGGAGGACCCGGTAAGGATCAGAACAATTTTTTTTTTCATTAAAAATGTTTCTATTAATCTCATAGATTCTTTATGTACCACTATTCTCGCACAAACAACAAATCTAGACACCACAACCCCACTACAATAGCCAACAGATGAATCGAGGAAAAACCAGAGGGAGTTCATGAGGAGGATTCCAAGAAGGGATTAGACATAGAGAAAGGAGCTAGAGAGGTCGTTAATACAACCTTACCCTATCAAGAACAAGCATGAGACCCTTTCACCCCTATTTTTCCAAGATACATCCCCACAATATACACACACCAACTACACCATAGTCTAGACCCTAGCACCTACAAATTAAACACTACCTCTGATCGTACCATAAGAGGCCCACATGGACATTCGGGTTCAAACTCTTCATCACGAAGTAATGGGGATCAGTGGCAAGGCCCAGAGTATGACACAACAAAAATTCAACACATCTGCGGGGAATAAGAACATCATATGGATGCCAGTCCTACAAGTAGATCAAGAAAAAAAAATAAGGGCCACTTGCATTCTTTAGAGGAAGAGATGGATACCATGAGGCGATAACTCCTTGCAGCTGAAGCAAGGGTAGACTTAGCGAAACAAAGAGCGGAGGAGGCTACTCGCGAAATGAGTGAAATTGTTGGGCACCTTATGTGCCATTTTGGCTTAGGATAGACTAGTATAGCCGAATAAGTTAGTGACTACACTACTCGCACTATGTCTTAGGCTTATTGCATCTTTCATCACCACTAGTAGTAGTAAATCAAGAGAGGTATGCCCTCCAAGACCCCTGTAACCCAAATCAACTTAATGTATTGACGGTTATGTTCTATTCATACAATACCTACTACTTACCACCATAAGTACATTTTGATGAGGTGATCAAAACATTTAGGAATCATGCAACAAAGCTTGTAATATATATATATATATATATATAATATTATAGATGAGATACAACTAACAACGACCATAGTTACTTACGAACTCGTTTCATATTATACGAAAGAATCATGCCGCAACACGGAAATAGCCAGCATGTCGGCGAAACACCTGTTCTACAAATGGATCTCACTACATTTTAGACCACTGTAACAGCCTCCGTGACAGCCATCATGGTACAACTTAGCGCTAACAACACAAACGGAAATAGGAGCGGTGCTAGCAATACCAACCCCGGTGGCAACCAAGGACACCGGTAAGTGTGTTATTGCAAGGGTACCCCAAATCAGAAACCTAAGAATTTCCATGACAAAGGAAGGGAACTACCTAAAAAATGAAAGTTTTAGAACTAGAAAAGGGGTCGTTTGACTCAGGTACCTGTTGAAAGACAACAAATTGTGGCAATTCATGCAACCACTACCCCTACTGCCTTAGTGCCGACAAAATCATATGGTGGGAACCTACCCGAATGCCATAAGTCTAACTTCCATCACAAAGGATCATGCCAGGAGATACATTGCAAGAATTACAACAGAAAAGGGTATCCCACTCACTCTTGCAGAGTGCCAACCCGATAGGCCACCCAATCTGCTAAGGCTAGAATGAGTCAGGCTTGCTATGAATGCAGGGATACGAGAAAGTTTAAGAGAGAGTGCCCAAGGACTAAGGAATCGGATGTCAAAGACGTCGGAAATATTTCAACAATGGAACATGAGGAGGCAATGAAGGACCCCACTATGATTACCGGTAAAGTTCTCCCTAACTAACTCATACACATGCGTATTTTACGATAGAGGTTACGGAAAGAAAACTCGTAAGTCACAAGGTATAATTGCATGTTAAATAAAAACCCTCAAATGTTCACAAAAATAATCCCGGTAGAGATAACTAGGGGAAGTACTAAAACCACCAACAATACGTACCTAGGATGCACTCTAACTCTAAAAGAACATTTCTTTTAAAATCAACCTAATATCAGTAACAGTAGGAAACTCCGACATGACCATTTACATGTTTTAGATAAGATCTCGCCGAAAACATATCATACGGGAGACCGTTCGACTTAACTTACTAAAAAACGAAACCCGTACTACCTATAACGAAAAACCCGACACAAACCTCCGAATCGTCCTTGGCATCTAGATTCAGAAGTACCTATGAAAAGGAATACCATACTCTTTCTAGCCCATAATAGAAATAGGAAACAAGAAGAAAAAGACATCAAGGGTATCCTAGAGGTTTATAATCTTCCCGAGGTGTTCCCAGAAGTTCTTTTGGAAAGACCACCCATGTGCTAAGCTGACTTCGGAATCGACTTAACTCTTGGAGCCATTCCCGTAGCCAAATCCCCAATACCACATAGCACCAACATAATTACAGAAATTGTCCGGTCGAAGGAACGACCTATTAGGTAAGGAAAAAGCAGACCGAGCCTCTAACCTCAGAAAGCACCCGTCTAACTCGTAAAAAGGAAGGGTGAATTGTTCATAGGACCATTGACTACAAAGAGCCAAACAAACTCATCATCAAGGGTCAATATCCCTTATCCCGAACTGACGATCCGTTCAACCAACTTCAAGGAATGAGCCAAAGTTGGCATACCACTAGCTCAAAATTTTGTAGGAAGAAATTCTCAAGACAACCTAAGATATATAAGGCCAAATGCACCGCACGTACCCCTAACCCTGTAGACAGTAGTGTCCACCTTAAATTTTATATGCACTACCCCCAGGGCGTCCAGTACGCAATCTTCATTAGACCATTTGAGATCCTTGACATGATCGGTTTAGTGGTTCACAAGCTTCGGTTACCACAAGAACTCAACAACATATATCCTACATTCCCCGTGTCCAACCCTAAGAAGTGTCTGACCGACAACACTCTTGTAGTCCCACTCAAAAAAATCAAGGTAAACGAGGTCTAAGAGGTCTAAGAGGTGTCTGACCGACAACACTCTTGTAGTCCCACTCAACAACATATGGGGGGATGATGTGACAACTAGAAAATTTCGGATCAAACAAGGTCTAAGAGGTCTTATGTATATAAGAGTACCCACAACGTGTGTGTGTGTGTGTGTATATATATATATATATATATATATATATATATGAGATAGGTTCAAATGTTCTTAGCAAATATTGTGTGCCTAAATGCTCCAATCAGAATTTAGGAAAAAAGAAATCATTAATTAAATAATAAAGGGTAACTTAGTCATTTTACGTTTATAAACCAAAAATAAATGTTGTATATTTGGAAAATCATTAAATGAGTATCACATATCCTTTTTAAATCGTTGTTCATCTCACTAACCCTAATCCCTGCTCTTTTCTTTTTTTGATCGGTAGGCACATGAGAGACCCGATTTCTTCTTCCTCCTTCTTCATCAGATCGAGAAGGCATCAGGCGACCGAGAAGGCATCGTGGCTGGTCTTAATCTGTTCTTCTCTTCTTCCTTATTCCGTGGATACTGTTGGTGTTGTTCTCATGGAGGGGGTTCCTCCTGATTTGGAACCTGATGATGTTATTATGAAAAAAGAAAGGGGAAAAATGTGAACCCGAGAAACAAGCTAAAAATCGATTCTGGTAAGGCTTCTAAGTTACCGTAGGATCCTCTAAAAGCAAAATCAGTCACTCTTCTTGTCAATAAGTTTGAATCAGAAGTGAAATCTACTGTGATAAAAGGATCGAGTGATGTGATAAATCTGAAGGCCCTAGGTCTGGAGTGAATTTGGTGGATTCCCTTTTGGATGCTGGATGTGATGCGATTTCTATTGAGAATAAGGGCTTGGGATTGTCGAATGGTTCTGAGGGTGTTGTGATGGGATCGAAGATTTCTTCTAAAGTGGTTATGGCTGATATCGCTAGTTCTCCAATGGTTAATCATGTCATTCGCAATCCCATTAAGGAGGAAGGAGTGACATAAGGTTTGAGCTCCGCTATGCTTGAATTTGGAAAAGACATTGAGCAACCAATTATTTATTTAGTGCTTACCAATTGTTTGTTAAAAATCCTAAGAGACAAGATTTTTGTTTTTCATGTTTTTTCATAGGTTTCAAGATTGGCCAAGGGATAAGCTGTCATTATTGAGAATTTAAAGAAAGTTTCATGTTGCATACCAACTGCTCGATAAAATGCTTAAATCAAGTTTCTGGATTTTCTATCCAATCTTTTTATATAAGTTCAACTTTTTTTTGGCAAATATAAATGGTTTCTTCATAAAGGTTTTTGTTGTAAGTAAGGTGTTTAACAAAACTCTTGAATCAACTTTGTTTCAATTGTATTATAAATTGTTTTACAGGACCATGGAAGTATCAAATTTGTTAATTTTTTTTAATCATTTGATTGTTAATAAATTAAGAGGATAAAAATTTCTTAATTTTTTTTATTCATGTCTTCTGATTATGGTTTTGGTTAATTATTTATATATTGATAATAAATTCTAGGGTAAATTACACGGATGGTCCCTGTGGTTTGGGGTAACCTGCGCGCCTAGTCCCTGAGCAAGATTTTTAACTCGGATGATCCCTAATGGTAAAATTCATAACCATCCTGGTCCCTCACTTAACATCCCGTCTAGTTGCTCCGTTAAAACACCCCACGTGCAAGGCACGCAGGGGTATTTTTGTCTTTTTAATATTCTAGTGTTAAAACACCCCACTTGCACGCAGGGGTATTTTTGTCTTTTTAATATTCTAGTGTTACCGCCATGTTGTATACGAAGAGGCGATCATTTTGCTCTGTACTCCATCTTTTCATTCAGAAAACCCAGAAAAATTTCAACATTCCGATAAGAAAACCCTAATCGTGATATCTTCTCCTCTAAAACGCAATGGTGTTGTGGCGTATACGTGCAAATATGGAGGAAATCGATGTTGGACGTCGTTACTGTAAGTATTCTCTCACTCTCAATCTTCTATAACTTGGATTTTGTTGAAACCTTATCTGAAGTGGGCTATTTCACAGGGGGGCATCCGACAATCTTTTCCATTAGGTTATACCATGGTGGAGAGTTCACCAAATTTCCTGGAAGAAAGTACATCAAAGGAAAACAAACGTATATAGACTTACTCGACATGGATACTTTCTCAGTGCATGACATTGATGAAATGATGGAACAGTTAGGCTATGTTGATGAAGGTATACCTTTGTACTATCACTTTAAACGACCTTTTTCAGATTTAGATTTCGGGTTATTTGCTTTGGGTAGTGATCAGGATGTGAGACATCTGGGTACCTTCATTTCCAAGCATAAGTTGATTGAAGTCTATATTGAGCATGGAAAAACCCAATTACATACGTACACAATGTCCCCAAATCAAGCAAAAGTTCAAATAAAGGAAATTATTGAACCTCCATCATGTTCTCGTAGGCTTTTCTTAGATTGGTATGATACTGGGGAGACAAATGTTGTTGGGGATGCTTCTAAAGAGGCTAATGTAATGGACGTCACTGGAGATGACAATATGGACATAACTGATAATGGGGATAATAACAAGAAAGGAAATCCATGCGTTGAAGTTGAAATTGGGGACAAATTTGAGCACACGAATGAAGTTGAATTTAGGGATGGTAACAAGGGTGGAGAAGATCCATGGTCTGAATTTGAAAGTGGGGACATGTTTGAGGACATAAACGAAGAAGAATTTGGAAGTGGGGACAACTTTGACGATGATAGTGGTTATAAATCTAGTGAGTCCGATGATATAGACTTTTATGTTGACAATGACAACATCTTAGATGATGTAGAAGTTGACATGAATGATTTCAATGATAACATTGATATGGATGCAGAGTGGGTTGGAGGTATGAATGACAATGTGGTACAAGAAGAGAATGAAGTTGGAGAGCTTAATGAAGTACTAAATAACGAGGTACTTTTGTCAGGATCATCTTCGGATGAAGGTCCAGTTGGTCAACGAAAGAAGACCATCAAAGCTATCCAACGAGCTCATGAGAATGATGAAGCAAATGTTGCTGAACCATTTTATATCCTTCAAACCTTTAATACAGCCCAAGAGTTTAAAGAAAGAGTTAAAGTCCATGCTATTGAGACAAGAAGGGAACTTGGTTTTGAAAAAAATGACAAGAATAGGGTAAGAGTTGTGTGTAGGGGGACAATACCAAAACTGGGAAACTTAGACAAAAGTGGGGAAGGTCAACAAGAAGTCAACAATGAAGATGAAGAGAAGTGCCCGTGGAGCCTCTACGCTAGTAAATGGAAACGTGATATAAACTGGATGGTCAAGTCTTACAACAAAGAACATCGTTGTCTCCAAACTCGGAATGTTAAAGCGTGTACTTATAAGTTTCTTGCCAAAAAGATTACAACTCAGGTGGAATCTAACCCAACTATTCCAATTCGTGCTTTACAAGAACAACTGCAACGTGATTACCAAGTGGGACTTTCCAAGATGAAAGTGTTTAGGGCTAGAACTGAAGCTCTCAATCAGGTGCGAGGGGATTATGTTGGTCAGTATGCTCTATTGAGAGACTATGTTCAAGAACTTCAAAAACATAACCCAGACACGACTGTAAAGATTGATGTAGAGAGTGAACCAAATCCAAATTCAGAAACTAGAACTTTCAAGCGCATATACATCTGTCTTGGTCCTTTAAAAAAGGGATTTGCTGCTGGAAGAAGAGACTTTCTTGGTCTCGATGGTGCTTTTATGAAGGGTCCATACCCAGGACAAATACTTTCAGCTGTGGTAACCTTTTTTCATATGAACTACATTTATATTATAAAAAGTTGTATTTTAGGTTATTGATGGTGCTTTAATTGTAAATTTTTTACTTATGTAGGGAATTGATGGTAATAATGGAACATATCCACTGGCTTATGCTGTTGTGGAATCTGAGAGTACCAACTCATGGACTTGGTTTCTAACTTGTCTAGGGGATGATTTGGGTTTAGGAACAAACTCAAATTTTACGTTTATGACAGACAGACAAAAGGTATTAATTCGAATATCAAATTAATACATTATATATGATATACTTTTAATACAATTTTCCATTATATAGGGAGTGTTACCTGCTATAGCAAAGTTGTTTCCATGCGCTGAGCATCGTTATTGTCTTCGTCATATCCATGAAAACATGAAAGCTAATTGGAGGGCAAAGCAATTCAAAGACTTGCTATGGGATTGTGCAAAAGCATCTACTATTCAACAGTTTCAACGATCAATGGAGGAACTTAGAAAACTTAATAATGATGCGTATGAGTGGCTTAAAAACATTCCTCCTCAACATTGGTCTCGTTCACACTTTACAGGTAGATTTTAATGTTAGATCATTAGTTTGTAGCTGTGCAATATGTGTGAAACTCTAAATAGCTCATACATATTTTAATGATTTATTAGGTAGAGCTCATACAGATGCTATGCTTAACAATATGTGTGAATCTCTAAATAGCAAGATTGTTGAAGGTCGTGATGTACCAATCATTACATGTTTGGAGTACATTAGAGAGTACTTAGTGAAGAAAATTGTAACTGTGCAAAAGGAAATTGATAAAGCTGTAGGTCCCTTGACTCCTACAGCTACCATATGGGTTGAAAAACTGAAGAAAGAGGCTTCACAATTAAGGTCTGTTTTTTGTGGGAATGGGAAATATCAAGTCAGTAAAAATCTTTTGGAACAGTTTGTGGTAGATATGGGCCAACAAACATGTTCATGTAGAAGGTGGGAACTAATAGGGATACCATGTGCACATGCAATAGCATGTATGTGGGAGATGTTGAAGAACAAAGAAATTGATAAGATACCTGAACATTGGGTCCATCGAACGTATTGGTTAGAAACATGGAAGAATATGTATTCTTTTACAATTCACCCAATCAATGGAAGGAACATGTGGGAGAAGTCTACATGCCCTACAACCTTACTCCCTCCAAAACACCATGTGCCCATTGGAAGACCAAAGAAAAAGAGAAGGAGATCTGCCATGGAGGTTGAGGATTTGGTGAAAGGTAACCAATTGTCAAGAGCACAAAAATCAGTGACATGTTCTAAGTGTAACAAAAGTGGGCATAATGCAAGGACTTGCAAGGGACAGAAGGCTGGTGGTTCTCAAAGTTCAAGGAATGTTGGTGGATCACAAACTTCAAAGATTGTTGGTGGTGCTGGTAGTGAAAAAGTGAAGGTTGGAAGTGAAAAAGTGAAGGCTGGTGGATCACAAACTTCAAGGAATGTTAGTGGTGCTGGAAGTGCAAAAGTGAAGGATGGAAGTGCAAAAGTGAGGGCAAGTGTTAGCAAAAAAGGGAAAGGTGTCCCATAAATGTGGCTTTTAGGTGCTTATGTATTGTTTTGGTTGATGTTGACAAACATTGTCTTCTTTTGAACTAATTTATGTGTTGTGATGGTTATGTTAATTGCTTTTGAAAAACAATGGTGTAATTATAGTATCCAGTTTTAGCAATGTACTTTGCCTTTGACAAACAATGTAATCTTTTGATTGCTTTTATTTTGGTCATATGTTTTGCTTTTATTTTGGTCATCTGCTTTTGTCAATGTAATCTTTTGATTTCTTTTAGCAATGTAGTTTAACCAATGTCCCAAGATACATCACAAATTGTAAAATACAATCAAGTTCAACAAAATATCATTTTCATTGATAAAAGGGTACCCTTGATACAAATAAGATTCATTACAAGGCATTGTAAACAACTGCAACTACTTCAGTTGATCTTAAAACTAACACTACAACTTGTAAACAACTATCCCAAAAAACAAAAACCAACTGATTATTAACAATGCCTTCAGATTCCGATTTTGGACCTCAAGTTCTTGAATTTGGATTTCAAGCCCCTCATTTTTTATTTCCGCCTCATGACCATGCTTTTCTTCATCTACCCACTTAATAAAGCCAGACCTTGGTCCCTGTACTGTGAATAGCTTCGATTAGCACATACACATACTAGGGTTACAATAGAAAATCCCCCAAAACAATTCCAGCATCGTACCTCTAATGGGCAAGCATAAAATGCCCTACCTGGGTTTCTTTTCGTAGTTGAAGTACGTATAACGCCTATCGCACCACAATTGCATTTCACCATGTTTGATCGGCTGTGAGAAGAAAGGTGGGAGGAGAAGACTGCGATTGAGAAAGAAATGGGGGAAGAAGACAAATAAACCATGTTTAAAGAAGACTGGGTGACATGAAAAGACAAAAATACCCCTGCGTGCCTTGCACGTGGGGTGTTTTAACGGAGCAACTAGACGGGATGTTAAGTGAGGGACCAGGATGGTTATGAATTTTACCATTAGGGATCATCCGAGTTAAAAATCTTGCTCAGGGACTAGGCGCGCAGGTTACCCCAAACCACAGGGACCATCCGTGTAATTTACCCTAAATTCTACTAGAATTTTACTGTTTTATTTTGATAAAATTTTAATATTTATATGTTGATAATGTATTCTAACAGAATTTTACTATTGCATTCTAACAGAATTTGTGATAGAAATGGCTTGAAGAATTGATGGGAAAAGTTTGAAGAATGAATTAAAGAATGATCACACTTAATGTTTAAGAATGTTGTTATTTTTTAAGAATTACTCTTGTTATTCTTTCAGAATGTTGTTATTATTCAAAGAATCACAATTAATTATTTGGTAAATTATTAGTTCAAGAATCTATTTTGTGTATTATTTTAAGAATGTATTTAGTAGTTTATGATTGACATTATGTATTCTGACAGAATATGTTAGAATGTTGTTATTTTTAAACCTCGGATTCCAGAACTTTATTATTATTCAATAATATTCTAATAGAATAAAATTCTGAAAGAGCATCATTCTAACTAAAAAAAATATTCTGACAGAAAAATCGGTTATTTTTACAAATTATGTTAGAATTAAAATTGAATTAATTAAAAAAATCATATTTTTAAAATTAGGAGAATTAATTATCCACAAATATCCGAAAATTTCCTTTTATAATTGTAGTTAATTATCCAAAATACCATTTTGCTAAAATTTGTGTGATTATATGGTACATGCTATCCCATTGTAATATCATACACTCTCAAATCATATCCATTGATGAATTCCATCCGTTGGTCTAGATTTGTCCATTCTGACACACAATAATTAGTACAAACAAAATATTTAAGCCTATATATATATATATATATATATATATATATATATATATATATATATATATATATATATAAATTAACTCGTGTAATACATAAGTTTCACAACTAGGGGGTCATACAAAATAAGCAAATTGAAAACTCTCGTGTCGTGAAGATCAAATATATTTTCTGATTTGAAGTTTTTCATGAAAAATCTCTACTAAAAAGATCTATTATAGATGTTCTAAGAAGGGTAGTTAATGAAATGTGGTCATTGAAGATTATTACCTTTCTTCACCTAATATTTGTGGTGTCTCATTTAACATGCACGACTTTACCAATTTTTATATGTCAATAGAAAAGTGAAACATTCTTGAATTTGTATTAAAATACACACTTCGCTTAAAGATTGTTTAAAAAAAAAAAAGTATCCCATCATCTTTTAGCCGTTGAAAATAGTCTTTTTGGAGAAAATTTTAAAGGTTTTAATTATTCATATTAATTGGTATTGTAGTTATCATTTACGTTAATTTAGCTAAATAATTTACTTGGTTCTATTTTTTAAATAATAAAAGGACTGCATTTCATATATGCAACATAAAATCTAAAACCATATCCGAAATTTCAAATATTTGGAATTCAAAATTATTTTAAAATTAGGATATAGATTCATATATTAAAATCCATATCTTTGCTCTACTTTTTCTCATTTGATTGACTTCTTTTTATTAAAATAAATATCTCATTATTCTTTAAGGAACTATCTTTGTTCGGAAGGATGCTGGTTTGAGATGAGTTGTGTTTTTCCAAGATACACATGGACTCCTATTCAAGGTTCATCAAAATGATTTTTTTAACAATATTATAGTCTAACAAGAATTTGGTATAACAATTTTTTAATATGTATTTATTCAGGCAATTTTGCAACTGCATACAGTCGTGGACATTCTTTGGATTCCAGATACAAGGATTCAACACAAACTTCACTCAAGTCTTCTACATGGTTTGAATGTATAATGCAAGATTGTCCTACAACATTGCCTCCATCAACAAGAGTTGGATTTACAGTAAGTAAAATGATTAGTTTCATTTCATCAATTTACAATACTGCCATCCAGGACCATCTTTTGACTTATTATGTGATAGATCCATGGCTTGCATATGCACCTATGAAGTACAAAATTCTGATGATGCTGCAAAGGCTAGCAAAACTAACTTAATAACTTTCTAATAAATGTTAAGAGTTATTTACATTTTCGGTCCCTGAGTATAGCTGATTTTTTCAGCTTTGGTTTCAAAAAGTTTTCTCTTACAATTTTGGTCCTTATTTTAGGATTTTGTAATCCTCTTTGTCCTTGTTCCACGTAAAATGATTTTTTTTATTATTATTATTATTACCACAGTATAGCTGATAAAAATACTAAGGCAATATCAGGAAAATTGGAGGATATGGATTTCCATTGAATTTGTAAAAACCAAAAAACTTCAAAAAAGTTCTTACAGTCCAAGCCACAAGGCCGATTACAATCCCTAATGGTCAAGAGTTAGGCCACATATTGTGTGGAAGCCGCAATGGGTTGTTCTCTTTTAATATATAAATAATTAATAATTAAATATTTAATGTGTTTTCAAATACTTAATAGTTATTGTTATAATATTTCAAAACGGTACTAAACCGATGGTTTGCTTTTTTTTTTTTTTTTTTTTTTTAATTTTTTCCAAACCGGTTTTTTTGTGCACCCCTAATTTTCATCCATAATGTCTTATTTCATACAACACGATTAAAATGGCCACCCATGGTGTTAGTGACAAATGTATTGATATCAGGGACTTAAAAAACCCTGCTAAATTACATTACATTACATAATGGAAAATAAGAAGTCAAAAATACAAACTACATCACAAACTACTGCTATCTAGCCTATTGCAAATTTGCAATGAACACAACCACCTTCACATAAACCCAATCTTTGAAGCTGTCATAAAATTGAAAAAATGCATGTCTCCCACGTCGGTTGAAAAGTAAAACCCCACATGCTATCCAAAATCCGGTAACGAAACCCATGCCCCCACCAATATAAAACCATCTCTCAAGTTCATCATCTATGTCTTCCCCATCACCCTCACTTTTACCAATGATGGGTGGTGATTCTGATTCTTCATCTCCTGGACATTTTTTTGTAAGGGGAGGTCCACATAAATGTGCATTTCCATTGTATCTTGAAGGTTGAAAGGATTGGAGTTGAGTGCTTGTTGGGATTCTCCCTGAAAAGTTATTATATGACAAGTCTAGGTAATTCAGGAAACTCATATGAGACATCCTTGATGGTATCCGGCCTGAAAAACTATTTCTGGATAAATCTAAAATCTCAAGATTTATCATCTCACCAATTTTCGGTGGAATCTCTCCAGATAACTCGTTCTTTGACAGGTTCAGGGCAATCAAGTTAAAAAGATTGGTAATTTGATATGGGATTTGTCCTGTTAAATTGTTGCTTGACAGGTCAATGCTCTTCACCAATTTCAGAGTTCTACTGAATTCACGTTCATCTCCTTGCCACTCAATCATTGCATTGTCAACATATGAACCCTGTAAATATTTTGTAGAATATTGTACATCTTGTGAGAATCCTCCTTGTTGAACCATGCTCGTAAGATTACTCAAACATGAGGGGATGCTTCCATGGAGATTGTTCATCGACATGTCTAAAATCTGAAGATTAGATAACTGGCATAACTGTAAAGGGATGGTTCCAAAGAATTTGTTTGATCTTAGTAGTAGAAAATACAACCCTGATAAGTTTTCCCCAATCCAGACAGGCACATTATCATAAAACTTGTTGGCTCCCAAATTCAACGAGATTAAACTCGTGCAATTTTTTAAAGATAAAGGCAATTCTCCAGAGAAGTTATTCTTGTATAAATACAACACCTGGAGTTGTATCAAAGATCCAATAGAGGGAGGAAGCCTTCCAAAGAGATTGTTGTGTCCGAGATTGAGAACTTTTAGGTCTTTGAAATGCCACAAACAGTCCGGGAGTTGTCCGATGAATGAGTTATGAGAGAGGTCAATAAATTCTAACCACCCATCAACAATTTGACATATAAAGGAGATTCCTCCAGAGAACTTATTTCTGGAAAGATCCAACGTTGCCAAAGCGGAAGAGAGTTTCGGTATTTGGCCATTAAAGCTGTTGGAACTCAAATCTATCACTGAATATGTGGCGAAATTTGATAATAAATCTGGTAGTTTCCCACTAATGTTGTTGGAAGAGAGATTCAAATATATTAATTGAGAAGGCCACATGTCCCAAAACTCCAGAGGAATTGTGTCTGAAATTCCAGTATTGGAAAGATCAAGACGATAAAGATTTTTGAGTGTCTGAATCCATTTGGGGAATCGAGGCCCTAGCATCTTGCAAGACCTCAGGTGAATATCCTTTCCATAAGAAAGGCTTGACAAGTGATATGTGGAAGGAACTATAAGATTATTAAAAGAAAGGTCAAGAATAACAAGCATTGGTAGTTCCCACAGTTTCTCACTTATACTTCCACTTAAGTGATTATCAGATAGGTCCAAATAACCTAGGGATGAAAACTTTTGGATCTCATTGGACAATGACCCTGTAAATTGGCTTCCATAAGCAATCAAATCTGCTAATGTAAGCGATGTACATCCAGACAAGTTGGTGAGAAAATCAGGAAATTTGATAATGGCAGAGTTGTCACTGAAGTCCAAACTTACCAAACTACAGATGTTACCAAGATATTTGGGTATTCCATCTAACATGTTGCCAGAGAGATCAAGGATTTGAAGGCTATTGCTGGTTAATGGGAGCAACCAGCGATACATCGATGAGGTGAGATTGTTGTTTTGGAGAGAAAGGTCAGAAATAGATGAAGAAGAAGAAGAAGAGTTGAGAAATGAAGAATATGGATACATGACCTGTGAGAGCTCACATCCCCCTAAAGATAAATGTGTTAGTTTTGGGAGACTCAGAATGGCATCTACCCAGTGATTTGCTGAGGCTAGGGAAATCCCATCCATTCTCAGATCCTCCAAACGAGAGAGATGAGACAACCACTCTACCTTTTCAACTCTACACCTTCCAACAGAATCAAGATGAAGCTCTTGCAAGTTGGTGAGGTTTCCAAACTCTGGAGGAATTGTTCCATAAAGTGAGTTAAAGGAAAGATCAAGACGCCTTAATTCTCTCAAGGAACCAATGGACCTGGGAATGGTTCCATTGAAAGAATTGTAGGAAAGATCAAGGTAACTTAACTCGGTCAAGGAGCCAATGAAGGTGGGAATGGTTCCATGAAAAGAATTGTAGGAAAGATCAAGAATATTCAAGTAGGTTAGGTTAAGCAATGAATGGCTTATCTCACCTACAAAACTACAACCGGAAATATAAAGCTCTGTGACATGACCTGTTTGGGTGCTGCACATGACTCCACTCCATTTACAGCAGTCATGTTCATCAACTCTCCATGTAGAGAGACAATCATCAGGGTGTTGAAGGGGAGCTTTGAAAAGAAGGAGAGCATTTCTCTCCTTATCCAAACACTTTTTCATATTAACACCATTTGTATCATTTCCTCCTTCTCCCACTGCTACCAATTGGCTGGCAGTTGTAGTCACAAGGAGGAGCAAGAGAAATGAGAGCATTATAGAAACACAAGGATTCATAATGTAAATGTAAATGAATATCTTGATGATTTTTGGATTGTATTGATTCCTGCTATATGAAGTACCTCCATGGGTGGATCAAATTGGTGGATTCTCCACTGTGAAGTGTGAACATGAAGGATTCTAAGTGGGTGAGTGGCTCAAATTGGTGTCTGCTTGTGTGGGGCATCCACTATGCAATTTCCATGAAAGATGAAGCATCGGAATTAATTGCCCCAAATTAGACGTTCAAAGACTTTCAAGTCTTAGAAATTTGTATTTATTATAGGTACCTTTTCCAATCGTGTGGTACTTTTTGAGGCCTCCCTGATGTTGACGTTGAATATAAAATCTTTAACAGAAACATAACGCCACCATTCAAAAACAGATAGATAGTACAGAACAGAAGAACAAATGCGCTGAGATAATTTAGCTGATGAAGAACAAACAACACGACAATGGTGGGCGGTGAAGACGACGAGGGAGATGGTTAGAAATTATATCTCCGTCCAAAATCCCTTGGATGATTTATGATTTATCACACAACTTTTCTATAGATAACACAAAAACTTTACTATGAATTAACTCAATGGTTTTGTAAACTTTTAACTCTTATATAAATTTTTGTGGTTTTATTAGTTTTTTCTTTTTAGAAATTTTCATTATAATATTTATATTTTCAGCTATTCTTTAAAAAAAATATATATATTCAAAATTCTGTAATATCCTAAAAAACAATTAATATTAAAAAAACATTTAAACTTTTTACATAATAATTTTTATATTTTTAACTAGTTTTTTAAAAAAAAAAAAAAAAGTTACATAAAATTAGAGTGGTAAACGAACCGCACAACTCTCGCTCGTGTTTGTTAACAACCCTACTTCAAATTTTAAAATATCTTAGAAAAACCGTTCATATTAAAAAAACATTTAAAAACCGTATATGTTAAGGTTTTTTTTTTTTTTTTTTTTTTTAGAATTCTATCTAATTTGTGATCAAGAAAGAGATTTTAACTGCCAAGTGTGAAAATGGTTCGATTTCTAACTAAAATCATAATAAAATTGTAATATCGGTTTTTGATTTTAGAAGTTAAAATCATCTGCTTCTGGGTTTCGATTTCTCGTTTTGTATTTTGGCAACTTTTGACATGGTGCTACAAGCACCAACGAACATTGATAGTGCGATAGAGAGCATGGTTAAAGAATTAAGAAATAAGGAAGCCGAAAACGTGAGGCGAAAAAAATATGAATAGAGACCATGAAGCTGCCTATCAACATCTCATGCATGCTTATTTTGGCGAACATGCGGTTTTTCAAGGGTACTTTTTCGATGATGGTTCTGAATGCATAAATATTTGTTTGAACGTATATTTGAAGATGTGATATGAGCATGTTCATTTTTCCAATAAAGTACAAATGCAAGAGGTGCAGTAGGGTTTTGTATGATACAAAAATGCAAAATCGCACACATATGGCACCCTAACCAATGGATTTAACGAGAATCTTAGGAAGTCTCCATGTACAGCACGAGAAACTTTTCACAAATTTAGCTAGTACGTCATGAAGTTGTATGGTCCACACTATTTGTGTAACCCTATTTACAATGACATCCAACAATATCATGCTCATCATACAAACCTACATAGCCTCCATGGAATGTTAGAAAGCTTGGATTTCCTCCATTGGGAATAGGAAAATTACCTTAAAGCACTTTTTGGTTAAAACACTTAAGGTAATCAAGGCTATCTGACAATCGTACTTGAAATTGTGCACAATAATTATGTATTTGGCATGCATAAATATTTGTTTCAATGTATATTCAATGACGTGATAGGAGCATGTTTTTTTTTTCAATAATGGACGTATGCAAGAGGTACATTAGGGTTTTATATGATACAAAAATGCATAATCGCACACATATGGCAACCGAACAAATGGATTTAACAAGAATCTTAGGATGTATCCAAAGTTCTTATATGTTTTGTGATTATGTACTAATCTTTAACTGAAATTAAAACTCATGTTACTGACAGATCATTGTTATTCCTTCACAAAATTACAAATTTGGTATGTTAGATTTTAGGGAATTTCAAATAACAATTTGAATCGGATGTTTCAAGGATCATGATTCTTTCATTTTCTGAAATCTGTAATTCTCCCTTATTGCCTAGGGTACACGGATTCAAAAGTGGGATAATCTAGTAACTTCAATTTTGATTACATACCTTATTAGAATTGAAAAAACACAATACTTGTGTGTTTTTTCAAAGACACATGGAAATGCAAAGTATTTAATTTTCAAGTATGAAAGTTGTAATGTTTGCATGGAACATCCATATTCCTTTTATACAATGAAGATGGTTATAGAATGAAGTTACCATTCATCTTGGCGCTAAAATGGCGGTTTGACTTGTAACATCTGGTTTTAGGATGTTTCTTTTGTTGGAAAGCTGGACTTGAATTTAATCATGAAGGGATCTTGGGTCTTAAGGGATGAAGATTGGACCTTAAGGAATGAGGTTTTAGAGCTAAAGGTATAAGACTTTCGATTCTAGGTTTAGTTTTGGCCTGAAAAGCAATTTGGTATTAAGTTAGTTTTTGGCTTTATTGGATCAAGACGTTCGTGACGCGAAATGAGAGAGTCATGATGTGAAGTATGTGTAGTCTAAGCCTATGAAATTAGGGTTTTATCCCATATTTAAAGGCTTTATCTCCTAGAATTAGGTCAATTGCAGTCCCCGTCACATTAGAGATCCCTTGGGAGCACACCCTAGCCTCTCTCTCTCTCTCTCTCTCTCTCTCTCTCTCTCTCTCCTTTGATTGTAGCCTCTCGTGTTTCTTTACACACCTTGAAGGAGATGGGGTGCATCTTGTAAATCAAGAAGTAAGTCAAATTTAACTTTTTGGATATCTTTTGGACCATTGTAAGTGTTTAAGCTTGAAGCTTTGGGAGCTATTAGGTCTAGATCTATGATTTTGTGCATAATTTGGTTACTTGGTTGATGTTTGAGGAATGCCTTAAAGGTTGTATTTTTATGTCTTTTGGACCTATTTAAAAAAAAAAAAAAAAAAAAAAAAAAAAAAAAGATGAGAATTCATCTTGTCGTTCGGTCCATTCATGAGTTTATGAGATTTTTGGTGTCATTTTGACCTAGACTTGGTATGATAATGTTAACGGCATGCATATGGATAAAGTTGGAAACTTTATCCGTTAGGACCATGTGTTGATATGTTATGGAGGTTTAGAGCTTAGGTCTTAAAAGATTAAGACCTTAGTTGGAAATTGGGTGTTTTGCCAAAATCGCATCACGATATGAGGTGTAGTCACGCCGCGATGTTTGAGCAGATCGCAACTATCTTGTCTCCTAGCAGTAGCACCACATTGTTGGTCGTTGCAAGATGACATGGATTGTTAACTTTTTGACCAAGTTTGACTTTTGGTCAGTTGGGTTTGGGTCTTGGAGGGGCAAAATGGTATTTTTCCTATATAATAGCTTTTATTAGACCTAGAGTCGATAAGGTAGTGTAGATAAAAGTTTTACTTTAATTATTAAATTAGGGTTAATTATTGTGTAACGACTAGAGGAAGAGTTGATATCACTAGCTTGGTTTTGTGGATTTCATCTTGTTGGTTACTTTCGTGCGATCTCAAAAGCTTTCTTATTATGTGGACTATGTGATCATTGTTTGTACGACCACAAATAGCCTCTCATAGGGAAGTATGGTCGGTATGTGCAATACTACTAAAGAATACCTTTAGGATGGAAGTTCAAGTGTACCTTAGCAAGATGTATGATCATGAATAGCCTCTCAAAGGCAAGTGTGATCAGGATGATTTGTATAACACGTAATAGCCTCAAGGAGGGAATTTCTAGTTGTATAGTGGTTAGAGTTATGCTAGCATATGTTATGTGAAAAAATGTAAAGTAATATGTGATTTAATACTAGGGGTATGCATCAAACCGCATAAACCGCCCACACAGCACCAAACCGTACCGCATAATTCAGTTTAGATCTTTTGTGGTGCGGTTCGTGGTTCGTAATTTCGATAAACCGCACTATATGGTGCGGTTTGCGGTTTTTAGTTTCAAAACTACGGTTCAAACCGCACCGCACCGCATATATATTACATTAGCTTTTATGAAGAAATTATGTTATAACTTCACCTCATGAAAATATATATTAGTTGTAAGATATTATGATATAATACGTTGAATAAGATGTATAAAGATTTGGCAGTATTAAGCAATGACCATAGATATATGTTAAAAAATATTACGATATAGTATTTCTTTAATAAAATATAAAATTTTAATTTAGATCAAATGATTGAAACTATTTTCAAAGTTTAACAACTAATCAAACTACACAAACTGCACCGAAACCACAAAACCGCCCGTAACAAACCGCACCGCAAACCGCGGTTTACACCTTTCGCGGTGCGGTTCGTGGTTTCCAAAAATCCCAAACCGCGTATGTGGTGCGGTCTGCGGTTTGGACTGTAAACCGCACCAAACCGCACCGCGAACACCCCTATTTAATACCTCATGAAGTTTCTGTGTTATTGTGTGTATTGCATATAATTTGTACAATGGATGAGTGTTGTGATTACTCATTAAGCCTTACTGTTGATTTATGTCCATGTATGTTCAATTGGTTTCTATTACATTACTATATTAGATGTTTGTTTTGGTTCATATATGTTCAATTTTGTTTGTTTATCTCTGTTCGTTTAGCATGTTCATGAACATAAACAAACAAGCATGAACAAGGTAATTTGTTAAATGAACGAACATGAACACAAAAACTGGTTCGTTTATCCGTTCTTTTGTTCGACTAACATAAACAAACATAAACAAGGTCTTGTTTGTGTTCGTTTACAACCCTAATCTTTTCACTTGTTAGGTAATAGATCCATGGATTGCATATACACCTGTGAAGAACATTTCACATTTCTGATGATGATGCAAAGGTAGTATGAAATTTTATTAATGACAAAA